ATCACTTCACACCTTGGTTTGGCCTAGCCAGACTTCGAAGAGGGAAAGAAGTCTAATTATCGGAAGACGTCTTTGGAAGCAAAGAGGTCTAGGCTTTCTTTAGTGCCCTGGATTCTGGATTCCCGTTGTGGTGCAGGCTGCCTTGGCTCAGTCAACGTCAACAGCAGCAAGAACAATCATACCAGTCAAATGCTTCTCTGTATACAAAGCTCTTTTTCCCATGCACTGAAGGTCAAGACTTCCTCTCCCCAACCCCAGTGACTGTCTAGCGCCAACAGCTACAGCGTGATATCCATGCTTCTCTCATACTCGAAGTTCTCTTAATGCATTAATTACTCCAGTGTTCTGCCCAACCCAAGGCAAGATTTTGTCATCTCTCTTCCTCTAGCACTTTCCAGAGGAGAAAGAGGAACATCTGAGAGGTTGAGAGTAGTCAGTACTCTTTGAGTAAGGAGGGCAAGGACCAAGGAACCCCAAATGTGTTGTCAAGCAGCAGGGCTGCCTTCGCTATTGTCCACAGGGAACTGACTCTGTTGTTGAATAAAATTCTTCAGAGTTGCCTACAAATCTCTCACTGAGCTGGGACCGGGCCAGGCCAATGAACAACTTTCTCATCTTCCCAGTGCTTCTGAGGCCCACCCTCTGTGTGACCTTTTTTCAGTTCTCTGAATAAATTTTCTTATTGTTGTTTTCTCATACTTTCTCTTCTGTTCCTATCACTTAATGGTTGGGCTCTTCAAGGTTTCATTCTTAGCATTTTCCTCAATGCACATGCTCTTGTTAGGCAATTTTTGTCTTTTCTATAGTTTCAACTAGTCCTATAGGCCACTGATTCCCAAATCATTACCTCTAACTCAGACCACTACTTAATACTCAATATGTCGCTCTCTAGTTGACGTTACCATCTTGAGATCCCAGAGGCATTTTAAATCCAACATTTCTAGACTAACTCAATTTCCCCCCAAAAAACTCTACTCCTCCCTCTATTTTTAAGTGACTGGCGGCACTCAGGCAACCAAGTCAGTGAAACCAACATATATTCTCTCCCCTGATCCCCATTTTCAGCCTCGGCCTCCCTTCCCTCTGTCATATTTGCATCACCCTTCACCCATCCCAGGCCTTAACTTCCTCTTGTCTTCCCCGATGTCACAGTTTTGTACCTTGTCTTCCTACTTCCTAGTTGGTCTTCCAGATGGATTGGTCCAGAACACAAATATGATCCTGGTGTTGATATAATTAGAACCTGTTCGTGGCTTCCTGATGCTTTTAAGAGAAAATCAAGCCCCCCAGTATGCCTCAAGCCTCTTCCAAATTTCCGCAGATGGCCCCTCTTTCTCTCTCAGTATCTCATCTTAAACCCCAGTCACTCCAACCAGTTTTCAATCCCCCCTACACCTGCTTGTTTATACCCTTGAGCCTTTATGTTTGCTTCCTCCTTGGCTGACCATGTCCTCCCACTGGCCATCACTCTCTCCCTATCCACCTGGAGAGAGAACTCCTCACCTTCAAGGATTAGCTGAATCCTTTTCTGACTATACCTCTTCCTCCTTATCCCCCAGGTAGAAGAATGCATTTCTCCTTTGTCAGCCCAGCAAATCCCATTAGATTTCTATTATAGCGCTCAAAACATTTTATGATATACTTCTGTTTATAGAATCACATATTAATTTGCCTTGTGTCGGTAGAAATAGTGATATTAATAGTAAATATTTATCAAACACCATGTTCGAGGTACCATTTTTTTACATTACAGTAATCTTTACATGCATTAACTCAACTGATCCTCATAACGTCCCTATGAGGTAGCTACTATATTAGCCTGATTTTAAAGATAGGGAAACTATGGCACAGAGTGGTTCCATCCCTTGGCTCAAGTTCACACAAACAATTAAGTGACAGAGACTGACTTTAGTCCCATTTGGTCTGACTCCAAAGCCTGTGAGTTTAACCACTATGTTTCACTGCCAATGCCTAGCATATAATAGGCACTTAATGAGCGCTTACTGGATGAATTAATGAGATTAGATGCTTGGGAAAGAGTGAAATGGGTGCCAAAACCTATGAAGGGGAAGCAAAGCTATGGGCTAATGAGGGTCACATAATCCATCAGGAGTGTTAATCTGGGCTGGGCAATTGTAAGAATAAAAGCTTGTGGGTGTAATAACCTGAGACCCAAATCAGAGATTTGGCAGGAAGTGAAGAATTAAATTCTGGGGCAAGCTCACAGCAGACCAGATAATCTCATGGGTCCAGAGCTAGGACCACAGCAGCATCTTTGGAGAACTGCAGGCAGTCTCTGATGACTCCAGAGATAGTCACCTGACCATGTGCCTGACAGTGTAGTAAGCAGCCTGTCTATGGAGACCCCAGTGAGGAAAGCCCAAGCCCTTGCTAGACTGTGAGCCCACGAGAGCAGGAAAGAGATCTTATGTGACTTTGAACCTTTTAAGCCCAACAAATAACACATGGTCAACAAATGACTAAGTGTTTGTCAAATGAATTGAATGACAACAGCAAAAACAACCAGCACAGAAGTCAAGTTATCCTGCTCTTCTCACTTGTCCTCCACAAATCCTATCAAAGTGCCAGACACGTAGATGTTCCATGAATTATAGTTTCCAAGTAGTATCCTTCCAGTGATTATCTTCCTCCTCACCACACCTGTAGGGAAGCTTCTCTTTCTCTTATAATCCCTTTCTTCCTCCCCAGTGATGAACTCAGAGTCCAAAAAGCAGCAAGAATATAACAGCTTTGTGGCTGCCAGATGCCAACCTTGAGTGACAACGCTTTCTGGTCTCAACACAATTTATTCCAACTACTGGACCACTCTTTTCTCTTGGGTGGATATTGACAATAACCTTAATGGAGTAAGCACAGCTCAAGGATGTCTAAATAGCAATTCCCATCTTGCATTGCCTACATTATTTTTCTATTCCCAGCTCCTCCCACCTCCAAAGGTATTTTCTCTAAAAGCTCCCCACACCTAGATACGTCAATCTCTGTTCTTCCATCAGTCTCCAAGGATTTATTAAGCATATATATGGCCTCAGCATGGAGCTCAATTGAATAGGAGAGACTTTAGACTTGAGTCGTACTCACAACTCACAACTTAACGTAGAGGTATTATTATTTTGATGTGATACAGATGAGAAAACAGGTTTGTAATTTTAATTCATCAAAGATCACACAGTTAAAAATAGTAGAATTGGCAGGTTTTGCTAACTCTTAGTCCCACGTGCTCAATGAAGCTACTCTATGGTGATAACAATGGGATTCAAAGCAGAGAGATAGTCATTGGAATTAGAATAGTCAGGGAAGGCTTTGTAGAGGAGGTGGGGTCATCAGCTGGACCCTGAAGATCTTGAGGTTTTGATTTGGTAGAAAGGTGGGAGGAGAGATTTTCTGGAGAAGGGATAGCCTAGGTGAATGAACACAGTCAGGAAAGTGCACAAAGTCTAGAGGGAAAAAAATGAGGGAATGGGGGTAAACAGCAAGCAGAGGTTGCACCGGTACTGAGAGTACCTGGTGAAGGGGGTCAGGCCCAGTGCCACTTCTTCCTTCTGCGGTTGAGCTAGTGCCGTCCTTGCCTCTGTGCCTGCCCAAGTCGGAACAGATTAAGCCCTGGCACTTCCCTCACTTCTTCCCCATCTTCTCTCTTCCTTCTGAATGCCAACCAATGGGCAACTCAAACACATTTCTCAAAGTCTAATTAGCATCAACAATTGTTCAAGCTAATCGCCATAATTAATGGAGAGACAAGGCTATGACTGGGAGAATTATACATGGAAATAATCGAATGTGATTGAGTACGGAGCAGCCTCTATTCAGGAAGCTGGAACGGGAACAAGTCCACTCCCCCTCCTCTGTTCCTTCTAATTCTCCAAACTGGGCTCCCCCACCACGCTGCCCCCACCCCCGTCAGGCCGCGAGATACAAGAAGCATCCGTCTCATCAAATCAAATTCCCTCCACAATGCAGGCGTGACCTCCGGGGGAATTAAGGCCATTAGACTTGATTACATAATAACAGCTGCTCAGTGGCCTGGACCCCTCCTCTTCTCCAACACCGCCACACCCACGGTGACAGCGCGCCTAGAAGGGAACCATGTTTTCTCTGTGTCTTTCTTTTATTCCTCTTTCCAAAATCACATTTCTTTTTGAATTTCTCTCTTGTTCTTTTTTATTACATTTACTGGGGTGACGTTGGCTAATAAATCATAGAGGTTTCAGGTGTTCAGTTCTGTAGTCATCTGTGTATTGTGTTGTGCATTTATCACCCAAAATCAAGCCTCCTTCTGTCCCCATATATTTGACCCGTTTTACTACCTTCCCTGACCCCCCTTCCCCTCTGGCAACCACCACACTGTTGTCTGTGTCTGTATATAAAACTGCAAGCAACAAGGGAACAAACACGACTGACAAACAAAAACCATTGTCCCTGACTTTCCTATTTCTCTCTTTCCCTCCCGCCTCCTCTTCTCCTGCCCTCTCTCCCCCTTTCTCCCCTTCCTTTAGGTTTTCTCTGTTCCCTCTTTGGCAATTCTTATGTAAAACCCAGGCTTCAGGGAAGCCCAGGGCCTCTGGTCATCTACTCCCCCTCCCTTTATGCACATATTCAGAAGGATCATGTGGTAATTATGCCCTCATGGGGGGCTTGCTTTCCTTTTGGTGGCACTAAAGCAGTTGCCTCCCCGTTTCACTCTAACGGGACATCTCCAAACCTTCATTTGATGATGTTTCCTTCCTCACAGGTCTGCTTCTCCTCTGAACTTACTACCACTTTGTTAACTGGCTTCTTTTCCAACTAGATCATTTGGTGAGTGGTCATAGCCCCCCGGGTGGGCTTTGCACGCTGAGGTCTTTTATTCTTCCTTATTTTCTAGATGAAAACTGTTCACAAGCTAGGCCACAATACTTTTTCCCATTTGTAACGCTCCTAATACCCACAACCTCGCCAGCTTCACTTCCACCAAGCCAAACCTATCTCCATTCCACCAGCAGCTTCCTGGAGACCAGGGGCCCACGTCTCAGCGTTGCCCCGATGGCCAAAGCAGGACTGAGTCCTAGACTCTAATAGGGTGAGGCTTCTTTGTGTCAATGCAGGTGAGCTGAATGATAGTGGGTTTTATTGTGGGGTTTTATTTTTTGTGTTTTTTTTTTTGGCCCTTACTTTGAAGGAAAATCTGGAAAAGTGTAAATGTAATTATGCAAAGCCAAATGGCATAGTCTGAAATGCGGCCTATTCCAGTCCACAGAGACAACATGGATTATAATCTGGCCCCATTTTTGGACCTGTACCCAGTCATGTCCTGAGGAACTGAGGAGAATTTCATAAGGAGTGTGAGGCTGTAACTGGTACAGCAGAAAGAGGTCCAAAAGGAAAAGCAAAGCCTGAGAGCAGGGGCCAGTTCACTTCAACTCTGTAAAGCAGTGGAGGAGCAGAAGGAACAGGGGGAAAGAGGGCTGAAGTTTGGCCAATACGAGGGTTAACCTGCGGGACTGTGTTGGCCTCCATTAATATGAGTAAACATTCGAAGTTTGGAGCCTTCTAGCAGAAAGGATGATTTATTTCCCCTTTCATTTATATATGCAACCTAAGGGTCAGCCAGATTCTTGGAATTCATATTACATACACTCCTAGATATTTCAGCAATAATCTTTACACACCACACCTTTGCCAGCGCATATTTATAAGAGGCAAAGCGAAACTGTGTGAAGAGCACAGAATTTAGACTCCAAAGGCCTGGTTTCAGGAATTTCATTCATACCACCTATCAGCTGTGTGACCTCGAGCAAGACACTTAATGTTTCTGTGCCTCAGGAGTCTCTGCAAGATGAAGACTGTCATAATTGAGATTAAAATAATATATGAAATTATATTCATATTTATGTCTGTATTTTGCCTGATGGTACAGGTTTGTTGTGGGGATCACAAAATATATGCTAAAGTGTTGTGTACACTGTTAAATGTTATTCACACTGGTTATTATTTTATATTCCCTACAGAGCTCAGGTCTCCAGGTGCTGGGCACATACTGAGTGCATAGTCAATATGTGTGGACCGAATGATACCTGCTTTTCCCATTCAATACAGAAGAGTATATCATGGATTGCGTAACTAGTTTTATGAAGGTCCATCACTTTCCCCCAGAAGTGCAACCCAAAGAAAACCAGTGCAAAGCATAGCAGGAGGACGATGGCTGGGCACACCACTGCCTGTAGCAATCCCCAACACGACCTACCTCATGTAGCTGCGATGTCCTCCCTCCACATCAGGAAGCACAATGCCCATCACATGTGAACGCCTGTGTCTCAGTTTGTTTTAGCTCTTCGAAGGCACTCTCCTCACTCCACGGAGTTTTAGTCTCCTGTGTATCGTCTGGAAAGGCCCCGGACACGCAGGACAGCAGAGTCTCATTCATCTCTGGACAGATCCCACATCTGGCCTGGCGTCTGGCACAGCACAGGCGCCCAGTCCATCATGCTGCACCGAGCTACAGAACAGGCGCCTTGGCACTGAAGTTTGCTAAGCAGACTGCGAGGAAAGGCTGAGACTCCACCCTTCTCTCAATTGCTGGAGCGATTGTCATTGGGAACAGATGTGGGCCGCGGCAGTGAGTTCAGGTGAGAGTCTGAACTCCTTTCCATGGTCCACGTGTTACCACCCCTGGGAAGCCAGAGGACTGGTTACTCCTTCCTTGGGGTCCTCACCATACACTCTTCTCCTTCCAACATAGGGCCACCTCCTCTTAGACTGTGGTGGCTTGAGGCGCAGGGATGAGACCGTTTCATCCTCGAGGCCACCAGTCGAATCCTCTGCTTGCAGACCGGGTTCACACCTGCACACACCTTCAGGCTGATGTATGTCTTCAAGGCTCAGAGGATATTTGAAAGTTGCTTAAGATGCTCTTGTCTCCAAGATCTCCCCAGAGCTCCCCGAAAGCTCACTTTTCTTGGCCCCTTCTTTGAGGGAAAGCTTTGTCTCTCCATTTATCCCAGAAGGGAAGGTGGTGGGAAGCAGAAAGGTAGCAGGTGGGAATCAAGGATTATTGAGCTCCTGGTATATGCTGGCACTTGGCAAACTACTTTATAAAATCTCATCAAATTCTTATAACAAACCTGAGGGGGCCAGTGTTATCCCCATTGTACAGATGAGATAACTGAGGACCAGAGTGGTCACGCGGCCAGAGAGTAGTGGGACCAGGAATGGACACCAGCATAGTTCCTACTCTTGGTGCCAGCCCTGTGGACCCTCTACATGGAAGGCTCAGAGCTCTCAGCACACGGTGTGGTGTTGGGCTCAATTGGTCCATTCAGTAGGAAACCTGCCCAACATTCACCCTGGAACATTCTCCTGTAAGAACCTACATTCAGCTCTAATTGCCTCTCAGAGTTTTAAATTGTTGATAAACTTTTTTTTTTCCTCCACTAGAAATAAACTGAGCTCCTGATGGCAATGAAATAGAGAATCGAGAAATGTTAAGTACTTTAAAATGCACTATTTATTATGTCATGAATTGTGTTTTGTTATCGAGAGTCTTCTGTCATTATGTGATTTTGGAGAGGTCTGGGTTCTTTTCACATGTGTGTTTTTTTCCTTCCCTCCTGTTCTCTAGGGAGCTTGTAGTCCTTAAAATTGTGTTGTATAATAGATAGTATAATCACAGCAAATTAAATGTGCCTCCACCACGTAGTGTTTTATGTTAATTCCATTGTGTGGTGGCAGCTGCTTGGGAAGGAAGCTATAGATTGGCAGGGGACGTGGGTTTCCAGCTCAGCCAAGGGCTCACAGCTATAGGCTCTGTGCCACAAGTGATGTGGTGGCCCAGGCGGGAGCCGGTGCTTTGGACGAGGTGTGCCATGAGCTGGGCTGGAACAGTCACACCAATTCCCAGGACAATAGCTAAAGAGATCTTTCCTAAGGACCGTCAGAAAATAGGGTCAGGGAAGCATCTTGGTCTAGATGAGCCCAGACCCATGACTCTAGAGCAAAGTGACTTCCCTGGCACCTGCCATGAGTATCACCCACTTTTAGCTCCCCCAAAGCAAACAGCAGGTGAATCCTTATGTCAAAAGGGACCAGTGAATTTGTTAGGGACCTGGAAAACCACCATAAGGATGCAGCCCTCTCTGCTAGACAGCGCTGGAGGTTGCAGAACTCCTGAGGGTGGAGACTGCAGCAGCAGCCGAGAGGTGGGTGGGACAAAGAAGGAAGCACAAAACCCCTGTCCCCAGCCACACGGAGCACTTAGCCAGCCAGGGCCCAGCCGGTGCTCAGCATGACCGACCATGGGGACCAAAGACACTCCTGTGCAGGGGACACTAGGAGGAGGAAGCCTACTTCTGTTTGAATTGAGCATCTATTTACCAGCCACCATGCTGACAAATATGTTTCTATTTAGCTTTCACTGTATTCATAGGATGTCAAAACTATTAGCCAGTTTTATAAACAGAGAAATTGAGTTTCAGGGAGGTTAACTCGGCAGAGTCACATAACTAATAGTTGGCTGTGCCGAGAAATAGGAAGGTGGTGGGAGCCACAGAGATTCCCGGGTGTGGAAATAGTGTGAGCCCCGTCTGTGCTGCTGCAGGTATGTGTGTGCTACAGAGAGGAGGAGGACACGCCAAAGACGGGGGCACAGGCCGCGAAAACCTGTGCACATTACATGTGCTAGTCTCTTCAGGCTGCCATAACAAAATACCATCAATTTAGTGGATTAAACAACAGGTATTTATTTTCTCACACTTTTGAAGGCTGGAAGTCCCACATTAAGGTCCAGCCTTTTCTTTTCAGTTCCTGGTGAGAGCTCCCGTCCTGGCTTGTAGGTGACCAGCCACCTGCTTGCTGTGTTCTCACTCAGGGGAGAGAGAAAGAGGGAGCTTGCTCATGGGGGAGCTCGCTCACGTCTCTTCTCCTAAGGACACCAATCCTATCGTATTAGAGCCCCACCTTTATGACCTCATTTAATCTTCATGACCTCCCGAAAGGCTCATCTCTAAATTCAGTCACATGGGCCTTAGTGATTAAACATTTGAATTTGGGGAGCACACAAACATTCAGTCCATCATGGTATGATTATATTTTTATTAAAAATGAACACACGTATATATACACACATTATATACATTTACCCTCGGGAGGACAGACAAAATAAATACACAACATTACAAATATCTCTTCCTTTGTTTACCAGTATTATCCAATTTATCTACAGGATGTGCATTTTAATTATCTATTAAAAAGACAAACTTAAAAATAATTTGAGCCTGTTTGCCTCGAGGCCCTGGGGCCTGGCAAAGGCGGCATGGACGGTGCCTACACTCTGCCCATCTGCTCTGCCCCACCAGCCGGTTCCAGCAGCTCCCTCGCAGAACTGGGGGGTGGGGAGAGCAGGGGGAGGGTCCTCGGAGCAGGCAAACACCGAATTGCATCCAACGCCCGCCTGCTTCCAGCAGTTGTCCCTGACATTTGGGGGCCATCCGCCCTCCCCTGCCCTTCTGAGACCTTGATGCCACACTGAGACCAGGGGCAGCTGCCTAAAGGGCAGGCTGAGATAAGCAACAGGCTGCCAAGGAAGAGGAATTGACATGCAAGAAAGAGCAGCGGCCGCCTTTGTATCAGAGCCACACAAAAGCAATTCTCTGCAGTCGATATGAAAAGGTGTCAGTTCTGGTTTAAGTACTGTATTACCAGCACAGATTTATCTGCCTCAAAGCCGGGCCTCACGCCGCTGAGGGAATAAACAGCTCTTCTGCTTATCTATTTCATAGAGCACAATATTTTCTCCAGTCGCCTCTGCCTCCGGAAAGACTTTTTCTTCGCCTTCCCCAGTTGTCCCAGCAATTTGCAAACACAAATTGCTCAGGCCCAGTGATGAGAAGAGCTGCCCGGTCCTCGGCCCTCTCGCCTAGCGTCTTTTCAACCGGGTGCAAGTGGGAATGTCAACGTCTGATGCTGAGAAACTAAAGGACATAGAGGGGCCAGGAAAATCCCTCTGCCCTAAAAAGTTGGTAAGAGATTGCCGGTGTAGGGGGCAAAGCCTTTAGAATTGGCTGATCACGGCTACTAGCAGTGTTCCCAGTACCCTACATGTCCA